GGCGTAGCGCACTTCGAGGTTGATATACGCATGCCAGGCTTTCTCGTCTGGTTCCCATTTCATCCATCTTTCAAACACCTGTCGTGTACCCGAAACGTTTCCCAGCAGCTCTTCGAGATGGACATACTTGTACCAGAGCTGATCGATGCGTGGTAAGATGCTGACCGCGCGGTCGTAGAGATTTCGTGCATGCTGAACGTTGCGCATCTTGAGCTCCTGCTCCGTGTATCTCAGCCATATCGGCAGATGATGAGGATCTACGTCAAGCGCGCGCTCGTAGACGGACCTACAGCGATCCATCTCGCCCTGACTGGCTTCCCATGCTGCATACTTGATCCACGTCGACATGTTGGTGCGTGTGCGGCGGAGGCGGTCCTCAAAGTCGGCGCGCCGACGCCCGCGATACTCTTCGAGCTCTTCATAGTCTTCGATCTTCTGCACGGGGGCGGCAGCGGGAGCTTCTTGTCGTTCTTGTGCTTCGCGGAGGAGCTGTTCGGCAGAGATCTGGATGGGCGCTGGTGCGCGGTTTTTGATGCGCGGGGCTGACCGAGACATGATGGCGTTGGTGCAGTGACCGTGCCGCTTCGAAAGAGTTGTGCTGGAGCGGATAGAGAAGAAGTTGTAAGATTAATGGGTCCGACGGGTGGGTATGTGGAAAGGGAAAACACCGTCAGAGGCCCATTGCTGTGGTGGTCATGATATAGATGCAGCGTTGTATACTAAGATCCCACCCTCAAAAGTGTGCCGTTCGCGTGGAGTTCAGCCCGAAATCCGACTTTGAGTGTGCGTCATGCTTGCTAAGCTCAATTTGTTTTTCAGATAACTTGTGATATCGAACGGTGTAACACGTAGCCTAAAATGCCTAAGCGACACAGAGAATTTGGAACCGTTTTTAGTGCGTCTCTTTCGGCACGTAGCATCATGATGAACTCATATGGTTGGGTCTAAGCTAGCGCCAGGCTTGTCACACTACCTCGCTCCTTGCTGTCTACTGGACGCTTGAACAGCTGTGAGGTCACCTTGGTCGTTGTGACGTGTCTCATGGGCTTACTGCACCGTTGAGCTTCGAAAAGCATGCCAGACCGGTTGATACTGCTCCGACGTTGACGGCTGCTGCATGCAGTCTCATCGATGGGCAGGCATGAGTGCAGGGTGTCGTATTGGGGCGAGTGAATCAAGAAAAAGGATGGATACCCCGAACCCTGGAGGACGTCGCGTAGGGCGCAGAGGTGAGAAGGAGGAGGGATGCAGAGTGGTGGAGCGAGGGTTGAGTGGATTGTGTGAATCCGTTGGAGCCATTGGGGCAACGAGGGTTTTGCGCGACATTGGCCGCCGGTAGAGTTACCGTAGCTGCTCAAGAGTGCTCGTGCAACGTGCGTGCCTACGCCCTAAACCCAGACGCCGAGGAGCAGCGCTCATCTCGAAATATCATACACCGCCCAACCACTGTCGTTGAAATACATACAGGATGCCATGACCAACGGCAAAGGTATGAGAGCTTGCGCCCACCGAGCTGAGCTGTTTTTGTATGTAGTGGATGGCGACTCGATACTGGAGCTAAGTCGGTGTGATATTGACAAAGAGGTGTTACGGCATGGCGGATCGATGGTTGACCGCTGCGAGAGGGGATGCGCGGCCAAAATAGACTGGCAACCCTCGACCCATGGACGCGAAAAGCCTGTTGTGGCGGGTGGCGGGTGGCGGGTGGTGGCAATCCAAAAGTGCAGCTCTGCGCGATATTTTGAGCAGAGGCCAGCTAGCGTGGACTCAGGGTTGCACAAAGAGCATTGGACCGGACCTCTTGAATTAATGCTGTCTGGTTGTGATTGCTCGGTGAGATCTCAAGGTGTCTAGCTGTCACACACTGTGTCGGCCCGCCGGCTTGAAAAAAGCTCGGAGGTGGCCAAGGGTGATTGAACAAGGACTCGGCTTCAACTCACGAAACACACGGTGCGCGTAGCTCGGAGTATTTTTCAGAGGTGAATGTCGCCTTTGAGTGCAAAGAGGACTTACGAAGCTTGAGCGTCGGGGCACGCTTGAGCCGCCAGTCAAAGGGACGAGCAATGAGCATACAAAGGTCTTGGATCGAAGCCGAAAGAGAGACACGACTAAGACCCTTTGAGCTAGTGAGTCCTTGCTGGCTATCCTAAACGCGCTCACATTGCACGACAGGCTGAGCGGCGAGTTTGGAGTTAAACCGCTCTGATGACTACACTTAGCTCTTGCGCGATCTTTGCCCTTGTTGCCATCTTGGGTGCTGCCATGTTGGGTGGTGGATGCAAAGAAAGAAAGGTCGAGGAGGTGGTGGTTGGATGGCTTTTCTCCACCGGACCCTTTTTTCTTGGGAGTCGCAAAAAGACGCGGCGCTGCATCTCGGCTGTCAAGTTTCAAGTTTGATGTGCGCTTTTTGGCTGCGACCCAAGCACGCAAGAAGCGATTGAGCGAAATGAAGATTCCACACACCAAACAAAACCCTCCGCCCAGCATGTGAGCCTTGTTTCTACTGTACCGTACACTCTGTACTGTACTGTATGCTCATTGCTCAGCCCTGTCACAATCTCCAACTCTGCTCATCGCTTCCTATCCTCACAGCATTCCCATCACTGCCACCTCGCTCCTTCCCTCTCCCGCACATCCGACCCGACTACTGTACTGCGTCCTGCCGGTCATGTCGTGACCCTCTCTCTCTCTCTCAACTACACTAGCTCGCCCTTGGCACTTGACACAACTAAGATGAACGCCCAATCTGCCTTCCGTCTTTAAGGCTCCGACCTTTCTCATCTATTCGACCCACCTCCATCTCTTATACCATTCAAGCTTGCCTTGTCAAAGACCCTTGCCCCGCCATCTTCTTCTAGGCCAGTCCCACTCGCATCCTTTGCTTCGGAGACTTTCTTCACAGCAGCTGCCTTGTCGACAATCCAACATCGTTCCGATAAAAGCATTCGCCGTCATCCGGCCATTGCCTTTTGCACCCTACCACCGCCACTCGAGCGTCAATATCAGCCCCTACCATGACAGCGACAACAGCAGCACCAACGAGGCCACCCACTTTTCTTCCTCATCGCTACAGTGATTCCATGCTACCTTCGCCGCGCTCTAGCGAATCATCACAGACCCATAGCTATTTCTCCACATCGACAAAAGCCGCCACCACACCTAGGATGACCTTCACCATGTCCTCGCCTCGCTCGGATGAACACAGCCAACTTGTGCCGCTCAGAAGATCCAGCCAGGCTGATGCTTCATTCGAGGATAAGTCGACTGGAGTCAAGTATGCCTGTGCCTCTTGCATCCGTGGCCATCGTACCTCGTCATGCACTCACAAGGACGGCTCAAAGGGTCCACTCTACCCCATTCGCAGCAAGGGCAGACCACCAACTCAGTGCGAGATTTGTCGCAAGAAACGCAAGGAGAGTGGAAGGCATGTCCGCTGCGACTGCACCGGCAAGAAGGCCCCTCCAGCAGCTCCATCATCACAGCCACTCAAGAGGGCACCGTCTACAACTTCAAATGCCCCGATCTTGCCATACACCGCCGACATTGCATCAGCCCACGACCGTCTAGACAACGCTCGCCCAGCAAAGAAGACCAAGATCCAAGCCGAACCCAAGTCGACGCAGCTCCCCATGACATCTTCGGTGCCAAGGGTGAGCAATCCGGAGCCCTTGGACGAGACCTTGCCTCAGCTACCATCGTTCGAAAACGTGCTCGCCCCTATCCGTCCACCTGGTGCGCATCACTCTTGGAGCCTGCCCAGCATTCACTCTGCCCATGGTACAACCAATGGCTCAGGCACCCACAACTCGCAGCCGCAGACCGTACAAGAGCTTGTGCCTCGCCGCTTTTCCACGCTGTCGCTCTCTAGCCTCATGAACCCCTGCGGTTGTCGCACCACAGGTTCGTGTACATGCTGTTCCGAACAACGTCAGCGCAAAGGGCCCGTCTCCCCGAAACAACGAGACAGTAACCTCGATGACTGCGATTCGAGCCGCTGCTCTTGCTCTGGTCCTTCTTGTGGACAAGAGCGCTCTTCACCAGCACGCGAGAACCTCCCGGCGCCTGCTCAGAATAATGTCGCTCCAACCAAAGTCGCGACGAGTAGTTGCTGCTCAAGCAAAAGCGCTTCTGCTGCATCTGCACCAAGCATCGAACTCCTCTTGCAAGCCGTCGATATGTCGACCGAGTTCGTGCCACCTGCTTGTGGCTGCGGTGAAGATTGTCGATGCGCACGATGCCTCGCCAAGCAAGGCCTGACCTCCAGCAATGTCAACGCCCAGCAGCGCGTTGCTGCTCATCGAGCCTCGAGCGCTGTCACTGCCTCGTCAGCCAGCCCGAAGACACCACCGGCAACGATGGCGACTCAGCCTACCTCGGCACCCGTCACCGATGGCCCTGGATGCGACGATTGCGCAGCATGCGATCTCGCCCTCGAGCGTCCCTCCGGTATCGGCGCGGTAGACAGCTGGATGGAGAAGCAGCGCAACGCATCTCGCGCGTCTCCACCTGCACGACCTCGCTCAACATCGATCGAGAGCAACACTGTCTCGAACCTAAGCACCAGCCGCCGAACTTCGCAGGCGGAAGTCGCCCCTATCTCAGCATCCGTCTCTATCTCCACCTCGGTCCCCACACTGCACGGCGGTCTTCTGACTTCCGAATCCGACAACAGAGCTTCTTCCGCCTCTGAGGACTGCAACGCAGAAGTGCGGGCAGAGCTCGTGCTCGTCCATCCCAAGTGCGCTGCCTGTCTCGACGTTGTCAAAACAAAAGGCGTCGGCGTGCTTAGCAGCGTCCCCGTCAGCACCAAATGAACGATCTACTCTCCTATCAACAGTTTTCAATGCTGTATCGCAATGTATTTATACCCGAACACTTTAGCTCATCTCGTTAGTTGTAATACCATCTCTGCCCACCCAGTCGCAAATGCACCGTGTAAGATGGCATCTCGCGGCTTGATTGCGATTCATATACGGCTGTAAGGGCAAAGGCTAACATCTGCGGCCAATACTTGAAAGCACCGCATCGCGTTCGATCTGCGAAGGTAAGCAAGGTATCGCCTGGTTGGTAGTGCGGTTTGGGGGGAGCACGCGGGAATGGTAGGTGTTGCAGATTCCTTTTTTTTTGTATTCTTTTGTCCCTTTCTATGTATCTTCTTCCCCATGTCGGTTCAAGCATTCGTAAGGCATCGCACACCAGCATTTAGCGTTGTAAGCACCCGAAATTTTTGACAAAGCGGAAAAAAAGCTATAACACACAAAAGAGGGATGGGTATCTGGATGAAAGAGGGACAATTCGGACGAGGGTTTCAATGATGCTTCTTCTTCTTCTTTTTCTTCCTTTCTTTGGTGTCTTGGTCGTCATCGTCGTCCCATTTTGATTTCTTGGACTTGGACTTGGGCGTGGAGGTCTCCTCTATCATTTTTGACAGCTTGGGAGGGATGTCGCTTTGTACGGCTGGCCCAAGGCTAGTGTATGCTTCAATAGCGTGTTGGGATGGTAAGGTTGTTGTGGAGGCGGAAAGCTCTGCTGCAAGTGCAGCTGAGGGTTTGGCGCGCCGTGGTGGGCTGTTTGCCTCTGATGCGGGGTCAGGCTGCGGTGCTGGTCCGGAATCAGCTGGCGGCGAGGGATCTACCTGTGCACTTTCGATCGCTTCGATGATGGTAGGCGAAGGTGATGTTAAACTGCCCACCGTACCCGAATGCTCATTGAAAGATGGAACTGCAGTCGATTGTGGAACCTCACCAACATGGCTACTTTGCTGTTCCTGCTCCTGTCCATCCTCATCTTCAGCATCTTTGGTGTCGGGAATACCATCCCATCCACCAACGTCGGCGAAGATGTCCTCCTCCTCTTCCTCGCTATCGCCTGCTGGTGCTGGTGCTGGTGGAGATGGATTTGCTCTTGGTGGCGAAGCGACGACGGCTGGTCTTGCTTCTTTGACCTCGTCTACGATACTTGTCGGATGCGACAATTTCTCAGGCTGCGGATTGGGTTTGGCTACTGATGCAGATTCACCTTGCTTTGTTGGTGATAAAGGTGACTTTTCTTTCTCAAGTCGGGATTTCGCTTCATCAGTCGGCGTAGCTGTCTTGCTTGAAGCTTGACCGTTCGAAGGGTCACCTTGCTCCCTGGCAGCTTGAATCTGTTCGGTCGGTCGTGCTTCGATATCTTCGACCGGGGCGACGTGCTTCTTTTTCCTGCGCATTCGTTTGCCGTTGACCCACTTGTACTCGGCGGTATCTTCTTCTGCCAGTCCGCCGATGGGTCTGAATCCGATCGGGCGGAAGCCGGATTTTGCAGCCTGATCCGGGCCTGCAGAGGAGGAATTGGAAGCTTTGCCTTCTCTTCGCCTCTTTATGGCCTCCATGATGTCTTCTTTGCTCCTCTTTCCAGCCGTTGCATTTCCTTCAGCGCCACCATCTCCACTGCTGCCAACCTTAGACTCCTGATATGCAGATTCCAAGTCCCCTTCCTCCCCATCAGCCCCGTCACCATCACCATTCTCCCTGGATATCTTGGCCTTATTCTGTGCGAGCAATGCCCAGTCTAGACCCTTGACTAGCACCGAATACTTGGCATCTCCACCAACACTGCTGATCTGATCGCGTAACATTTGTCTCTCCTCCTCGGTTTCTGCAGCTGCTATGCGTTCCTCGAAGTCGGCATGTAGCGCTTCTACATCGCGGAACTCCGAGTTGTGCTTGCCGGATCTTCGTGCTGCTGCGCGGTCGACATAGTCACTGTTGGATTTGGGTTTGCGGGCCGCTGGTTGAAGGTCCGATGGCTTCGTAGAGGTTGAGGCGGGGTTGGAACGTTTGTGCGCTTTGCCGAACGATCGATTGCTGTTGCTGCTACTGCTGGGACCAGATACCGGGGTTGAGGTCGAAACCAGGGCTCGGAATGCGTCTTGATCCATCGTTGCGACCTGTGAATAAGGAAGCAAGATGGTGATGGTATGGGAAGGTGCGAGAAGATGCCGGCAAGTGACCAAAAAGCCTCCACTTGTGTGATTGCATGCACGAGTACTGTAGTCTGTGTCTTTTTTGGACGCCTTTTTTTTTTTTTTTTTGGAAGACTTTTGGAAAATGGAGCTGCTGCTGACTCGGTCAATTGTTCGGCAGACAAAGGCACTCGCAGACACTCCTCTTTGTTCAGATGCTTAAAGCTCGGATAAGAAACAAACTTCGAAACCTTGTTTTGTAGATCCCGTTCTACCTTCTGTCCATCGTCGACTACACTCTTGCTTTCGCTCGTTCTACCATTCGCCATCCGCCTGGCCTATATCTCATTACATACAGCGCATCTCGAGCAGCGAAACCAACAATAGATACACGCCTCGCAACAGCAATAACCTTTCTCCCAGAAGAGCACACTGACGATGGCAGCCAATGTTCCGGACCCAACTCGGATCCTCAGCATCCAATCTCACGTCGTATCAGGCTACGTCGGCAATCGTTCTGCCACCTTCCCACTCCAACTTCTCGGCTGGGATGTCGACGTGACCAATACGGTCCAGTTCAGCAACCATACCGGCTACGGTCGATGGGGAGGTCTCCGCTTCGACGCCGAGCACCTCCAAGACATTTTTAGCGGTCTCGAAAAGAACGGACTGTTACGATACTCTCGCATGCTCACGGGATACATGCCCAGCGCGGCGGTGGTCAAGACGGTTCTCGAGCTGGTAAAGAAGCTTCGTTCTCGCTCTGGTGGAGAGGAGGGAGGGTTGATCTATCTGTTGGATCCAGTCATGGGGGATATGGGAAGGGGGATGTATGTTGCGCCCGAGGTTCTACCTATTTACAGGGAGATGCTGCAGTATTCGACCATCATCACGCCGAACCAATTTGAGGCGCAAGCCCTGACAGGGATCGATATCACTGATTTGGCTTCACTCAAAAAGGTCCTTTGGACGCTGCATACCCAGCATAAAGTACCGCATGTCATCATCACCTCCGTAGAACTGCCCGACGAGGATTTGGAGAAGATCGGTGCCCACAGAAGCTTGCCAGATGGTCGCTTGGCGATGCTTCAAGTCGGCTCGTCGTGCGACATTACCCTCGACTCGAAGGGGGAGAGACAGCAACCAAGCCTTAGCGAGGAGGAGCTCGAGATCTGGTCCATCCAGTTTCCAGAAGTTCAAGGATACTTTTCGGGAGTGGGAGACATGTTCGCCGCTCTCACATTGGGACGATTCCACCCAGAAGCAAAAGAGCCAGCACAGAGCAACGGAGTGGGCCAAAAGCCACTTACCCCCATCGCAAAGGCGAGCGAGTTGGCCATCGCCAGTCTGCAGGGTATCCTCAGCAATACTTGTAAAGTCATCGAAGAGCTCGAAAAGCAACTTCCTCCACCAGCAAAGGGCGCATTGGAAGCAAAGGATGAGGCTCAGGAAAAGGTGGATAGGATGAGAAGGAGAGAGCTCAGAGTGGTACAGAGTAAGAGGGAGATTGAAACACCGACGATTGTCTACTGTGCAAAGTGGATCAGCGGTTGATCGTTGGGGCGATGATGATTCTGTATGTTTAGCAGAGCTTTTGTTTAATCGTAGACTTTATCTTCGACGATCCATGTGACCTCTCCAGCCTGCGTGCGTGTGTCATTTTACGACCATGGCTGTTGAACAGAGTCAGCGGTTTCGCTCGGTGCGAGACGCTATTCTCAATTTCATGAAGTGCCTTTGGTCAGTACAATGCCTACGTGAAGGAACGTGCGTTGAACAAGGCAGCGTGCCTGAGCCTTGTGTGCAAAGTAGGAATGCATTGCTTATGCGCCCACTTGAGAGCGCACGATCAGGATGATATGTCTACAAGTACGAGGATCAGATGTTTGGCTAGCAGCCTCTCCATCTAGCTGAAGCTAGCGATGAATTGCTTCTCTGCATTGGCCACGGCTTTCTTAAACTCCTCTGCCTCCTTCCAACAGTCGAGCGTCCTTTCCGGTTGTGACTTGTAGCACTTGACCAGAGCCTCCTGGGCCTCTTTGACGCCAGCATAGTTGGAGACGTCCTTCTGCTTGTTGTACTTGTCGATCTTGGATCTGAGCTGGTCGAGCTCCTGACGCAGAACGTTGGAGTTCTTGCCCTCGGATTGGCCCTTGTACTTGGACTCCCTAGCGAGGTTTTCCTTCTCGATGGCCTTTTCGATCTCGGCACGGACGTCGGCTTCTTCTTTGCGTAAACGGTCGAGTTCGGATTTGATCTTTTGCTGGATCGATGTGTCCAGTGTTGCTTGGCGGGAGGCGTCGGGGCCGTCGACTTTGTCCAGAGAGGTCTTGTCGAGTTGGTTTAGGAGGGAACGGCCGAACTGTATAGATCATGAGAGCAGGTGAGAGACGAGTCGAAAGTCAGATTCAGCTGCACATCAGAGACCTTCACAGATGTTCCAAGCTGTCTAGATAGGAGTCTGCTGATGTTTACTTACCTGAAGATGATGCGCCTGCTTGTCCTCGGCAGCTGGTGCTGTCGACGCAGCTGCGTTCTGTTTGGAAGCTGCCGCACCCATACCTGTGTGATTCTATGTGAGACGATCCGTAATGTGTTCCGGGAGGCTTAGACGTGTCCTGAAGACCGTAAAGATGTGCAGAAGTGATGCGATCAGGTGAGGATGCCGTTGATGGAGAGATGCGAAGTGACAACGATGATTGGCGAAGTGGAGCAAAGTGAACGAGATTGGATGGTGCGGTCGGATTCGGAAGAATTCCCAGATTGGCCCAAGCCAGAATCAGCAGCAGCAGCAGCAGCACAGCGAGAAATCACGTGGTGAGGTCACTGATCGGGCACTGATCCATAAATCGGGACGCAATCTGCCTCGAAAATGTGGGAGAAAGGGCGCGACGCGATCCTGCAGACCAACACATCCTGTCTACTTCTTTATTTTGTTTCCTTGTTGATGATGCCCATCCCATACCGATTCCTCCTAGCATCTCCATCTTCTTTCACCATTTCCCACACGGCTCCATAGCATAGACCGACGCTTACGGCAGCTCCTGCTCATCTATCTCACGAGGGCCAATTGCAGCATCATCGTCATACCAAGTCGTGTCGCTGCTCGCCCTCCACTTTCTCTGCGCCGCCTAGTAGCCGTGACGCCAGAAGGCGGTCAACACCATGATCT